TGACAAGTCCAGTGGCAAGAAGCCCAAGCTTGCGCGGGACTCGGACGACGACGGTGACGACAACAAGAAGAAGAAGGGCGATGAAGCTGATCCTTCCGATCGTAGCTCTTCGGAGCCTGACGCCTCAGAGGAGGACGATGAAAGCGACGACGACGACATCATGAAAGGCAAGTTTGCCCCCCAGGTGACTCCTGTCAAAGACAGGAACTTGGATCAGGTCGCGGAGAGCCTGCCTTCCACTCTGAAGAAAAAAAACAAAAGGTTGGACGAGGATCTCTTCAAGAGCTTCCCAAAGGGCCTGACTCCGTGGGGGCCTGAGCACTGGATGCAAATCATGTCGTCCTAATTGCCAACTTGGCAAGATGACTGCAGTGCCGGCAATTCCTCTGGTATCACTGCCGCCTGCTCTGAATTTGTTGACTGCCTCATAAGTTGTGACCCTGAGTCGTGTCCGCAAGTTTTGGCTTCCAAATCCACCAGCTCCTGCTTTGCTTGGGTGAAGTCATGGCTGCTGCCTCCGTGCCTCTGGACCAAGCAGGGGCAACGATGAGTTCGTGCGCGACCCCAGGTTGTGCTTTCGGATTTTTCGGGGCCAGCCACAGACACTGCTGCTCCGCTTGTTCGCACACACAGGCTGCAGTGCACACCAGAAGATGCTTGAAGATGCAACGTGCTCTACGTCCTCGCCGTGCAGTTGCCGGAGATGGCACCCATGCCTGCGAAACAGTAGCTTGCGTGCGACAAGCTGGCCTCGGCTTTTCCGCATGCTGCTCCCAGTGCCGCCCCAGCAATGCTCATCGACACAGCCATCGGTGCAACAACTTCCATCGGGCATTCTCCAGTGTCACGATGCCAGTGGCCGCCGACATCGCAGCATCTGCAGGAGGTCACCAACTGGCAGCGGTTGCCACATCGACAACAGCAGCTGCATCGGAAGAGGGGCCAGAGGCGGGGGAGGATTCTGCGGCACCTGCGGAGCATGTACAGGAGGGAGTGTCTCTTGATCCTTTGATGCATGCCTCCCGCCCTCCTTTGGCAGACGTCAGTAGTCCTAGCTTTTTGCTGCTGGATCTTGACGAGATGGATTAACCAGGAAGCAACTTTGTTCCCTCAAGGGCTGCCAATCGAGCAGCTCCTGGCTCTTTGTCACCACACTGTCGCGTGGCTGCGGGTGTTCCAAGGAAACAGGAAGCATAATGCTGACACGAAACGAAGCTCTAGGACAGCCTGGCCCCAGTCTTCGGAGTGCCCTGTCTCCTGGACCTCCTTCTCATGTTGTAGTGCTGAGTGAGACGGATCTAAGTCTTGTGAGGCCCGACATCGCCAATTGGGTGAGCATCTTTATGGCCGAGGAGGTCTGGAACCTCGAAGAAGCTTCGGATTGCCTTGGCCAGCTGGAAGGAGAGTGGGGACAGTGTTCTGCCGCTGTGGTGCTTCTGCTTTTCCACGGATGCATCTGAAGGAGCCCTGTCCTCGCACCTCAGTGCTTCCAAGAAGTACTACCAGAGATTGACAATGAAGGGCAAAAGCCTCCTCGATGATTGGGCCTCGAAGCTGGGATCTTCCAAGGACTGCAGTTCAGGGTATGTTTTTCCTTGAGTCTAATCTCGCCAACCAACCTGCCGGAGGACAGCCCTGGCTCGGGCTCGGGCGCTCAGGCCCTCATGCCGAATGCCTGAGAGCCTGCATCCTGCCAAGCTTCATAGGCTGCTGTCAAGTGATCTGGAATTTTGCAATTAGGAACAAGCCCAGAGCCCGATAGGCACAGCCTGCAGCCTGGAGATCCTTGTGTTACTCAATGCTGGCCTCTGGCACAGTACTTCAGTTTCGTCAATCTGTTGCTCTCGCCTACTCCAGTCGCTGCTCCAGCCAGCTGTGTTCCAGTCTCTGCGAGGATGCAACTGCTTCCCGGAAACAGAGTCTGTGCACTACTTTGAAGCTGTAGGCCTCTAAGATTGGGGCTTTGAGCTTAGCCAAAGCTTTGCAGAGATGCTCTTCTTGGAACTGCAATGTCTGCATGCTCCAGGTATCCTGGTGTTTGGAAATGATGTGTATCCCATTGCAAAAGTGGAAGGAAGCATTGTTCCTTTCACGTCCTAGGATACCTCACCGAAAAACCCTAGACCCCAAGCTTGCAAGACTGTCCTCATGCTCTGTTCCGAGCACTGCTTCCTCCAACCCAAAACCTCAGAAGCCGAAGTTTTACAGACTAGAGCCACGGGCAGCCTCTGCTTGCTGGACGAGCTCTTCTTTTGCTAGGCGACTCGGCTGTGTTTGGGAATTCTGGGGCTCTAGGCGAAGGTGCCCCCGACCAGGGACTGCGAGGTCCGGACTCCGGGAACCGCTACCGAAACCTCACAGTGTTCAGAAGAGAGACTAGAAGGCAAAATCGTGCGCCCGTGGGTTCCGCCCAAACCCGAAATTGTTCGGAAGAGAGAGTAGAAGGCAAAAGTGTGCGCCCGTGGTTTCCTAGGTGTTTGAACGTGCTCGCTCAAATTCAACGTGCTCGCTCTTCCCCAACGTGCTCGCTGACTGCCAACGTGCTAGCTCGGCGCCAACGTGCTCGCTGAAATCGAACGTGCCCGCTCCTGGAAAAATTTTCGTCATGGCGTGCAACTCCGCGAAAAAAAAATTTGAGCCAGCACTGTGTCAGCGTTGCCGGGACAATCCTTCATTTAAACCACAAAACCCAAGGGAAACTGCGTGCTCGCTCAAATAAGACCTATCTGCTGGAGACCGTGCTCGCTCCA